TCCCTCCGAGGAAAAGAATTTGAGCAACCCCGTTCAGACAACAAATCAAGCAGGACGCAAATCAAGAGAGCGGGCACGAGGAGAGCACGGAAGGAGGCAGGGAGGCAGCACCACTCCAACAGGACAGCCGACAACGACGACGACACAACGACGGCGACGACCACCAACGACGACCAGGGACGACGACGACGAACGACGACGACGACGACCAACGACGACGACCACCAACGACGACGTGCGACGACGACCGGCGACGACGACGACGACGACGACGACGACGACGACGACGGCGACGCCGACGACGACGACGAGTGCTGGCGGCGCGCACAAGGGGGTAGGGGTAGGGGGGCAGATTTCTCAGAGAGAGGCTGCTCCTTAGAAGGCGCAGGCCTTACATCTATAGACACAGGCCGGCGCCGTCTAAGAAGCCAGGCGTATCTAAGGAGCCTCCCCCACCTTCGGGCGCGGCCCAACCGACCCCTGGCAAACCATCCCCTTCCGTGACGTCATCCTCGCCTTGGACATCTAAAGCTCCCCTCCCGCCGCACACATGCGTGTTAGGGCGAGTCGAGGGGGACGTCACGGAAGGGGAAGTGAAAGGGCGCTGGGACGCACAAATAAATACCCACAAATTCGCCGGCCCAACGGGCCAGGGCGTGCTAAGATCTCCGGTAACTGGTTAACAGTATTAACAGTATTTCTAGTTCGCGCGCGCGGGGCGGCCCCTGGGGGTCCCCCGGCGAAAAGTACCCCGACCAACGCCCGGTCGCCGCCCGACCAAGTCTACTCAGAGATGGTTTTCCTTCTGGGTGCGGCCTCTCAGGCTCCCCAGAGCGCGCTCAGAGTGCCCCAAGAGGCCCCCAAGACTGCCCAAGAGGCCCCCGAGACGCCCAAAGAGCGCTCGAAGACGCCGAAGATGACCCCAAGACGGCCCAAAAGGCCCCCAAGACAGCCCAAGAGGCCTCCAAGACGCCCCAAGAGCCTTCCAAGAGGCCTCCGAAGAGAGCCCCAAGAGGCCAAAATCGTTGATTTTCATTTGTTTTTTCTATGTTTTTTGTGTTCTGGCTTTTTCGGCTTCCGGACGCTCCAAGACGGCCCAAGAGGCCCCCAAGACCGCTCCAAGACGGCCCACGAAGCTCCCAAGACGGCGCCGAAACGACCCAAGAGAGCCCTCAAGACGGCCCAAGTGCCGCCCAAGACGGACCAAGAGGCCCCAAGACGGGCCCAAGAGGGACTCAGGAGGGATACCGAGAACTCAAAAATGGAGCCCTCCGTCCCAGAAGGCGCCCAGGAGGTCCCAAAGAGGCCCCAAGAGGCCTCCAAGAGGCCCCAAGATGTCGCCAAGAGGCCCCAGGAGACTCCCAGGAGGCCCAAAAGAAGCCCCAGAAGGCTTCAAACATGTCTCCCAGGCGCCCCCGAACGGCCTCTCAACAGACCCCAAGAGGCCCCCCAAAGAAGCATCTTGACGACGACTCTATTTCGCCCCATCGAGAGACGACCCCCAGGGAACTGCTTCACCATCAAAACTCCCCACGCAACGCGTCCGAACGACACCCGCCCCCAAGAGCGCAACATGGGCAACGAACACACAGACAAAAACCAGCGATGCCATATCACGGGCCGGCGGAATGAGCGAAGCGATTCAATAACAAGATTCTCAATTTTTTCCCATATTTTCTGTTTTGTCTTCCCCCCCGCTTTTCATATGTTCCTATATTTGCTGGGGAATCGACGATTCATTGTGTCTGTGTGTTGTTTCCCCTCCTGAAGATGGTTTGCTGGGGGTCGGTTGGGCCGCCCCTGAATCCCCCCCCTCTGCGCGTGGCTGAGGCTGCGGGCGCGCCCGCCTGGTCAGCCAATACGGGGGCGTAACGGGCTCGCACCACTGCCCGCCGGAGGACGAGGCGGGCGGCGCGCCAGAGAGGGGTGGGGCTGGATCGGGCGTTGGCAGAACTGGGTGTAGTGGGACCTGGTTTAGTGATGTGGCTTGGAGTCCCGAAACGGTGCGGTGACACCCCGTGCGGTAACCTAGAAAGATACCCCAAGACCTCACCGCACGGTCCGTCACCGCACGGTCTTGGGACCTCGGAGGCTCCTGTCGCCCGAGACGTCCTCGGAGAACGACCCGAGTCCCAAAACCGTGCGGTGACCCCGAATCCCCACCGACTCACCGCACGGTGTGGTCACCGCACCGTTTGGGGGCCCCCGAGGATCGGGCGTTGGCAGAACTGGATTAGTGGGACCTGGTTTCGTGATGTGTACTGGAGGCCCCCGCCCCGTTCCACGAACCGGAACTTCGGCGGCGGGCAAGCCTCCCTTTAGCAAAACTCCCTTTAATGCAAACGGCCTGGGACCGAAACCGACGGACCTGGACCCGCAAAGATGACGGCCGCGACGCCCTCTCGCGAACCGAAAACAGCCAATTCGCTAATCGACGTGTCAGGGTAGGAGGTCGATCAACCTCCGAGAACTGCTGGCACCCGAAAAAACACCAGCTACGGCAGACCTGGTTTAGTGATTCTGGCCAACTGAGGGGCTCCAGTGCCCTATCACTAACCGGGTCCCCTTACCTGGGGTCCTGGCCATACCTGGCTGGAGGCAGGAGGGCGCTAGCTGAACGTCAAAACCAGTGCTCGCCAGACGCCAGAAATGATGCTCGAAAAGCGCCTAGGTGACCAAAAACACATCGTTGAAGCCGCCCTGGGGGGGGGGGGCATTTTTGAGCTCATCTCGCTATTGTTCGCGAGAACGCCCGTGCTCGCACACGCCAACTACCCTACGCCGCCAGCGCGAATCGCAACGTGACCAGCCCCCTTCTCCCTCCCCACGCGCCCCCTGCCACATCCGGTGTGGCCAGGGGGTACGAACGCAATCTCTGTCGGCGAGTGGGGAAGGTGTGGTTTGCAAAGGGTGCGGCTTGCAACCTGCACCCCGGGCCACGGGCGAGGACCTCGGCAGAATTCTCCCCGCGGCCCGAGGAGGCCCGACGAGGGCAGGATGATGCCCCCCAAGCCCCAACGACGCATCTGGCTAGGTCGGGCATGTCCCCCTACAGGCTGCTTTTGGGTGAAAAATCCGCCGACCCTGTCGGCGTGTAGAAGAGGCTGTTCCGTTTGACTCGTCGTCGCCGTTGTCGTCGTTGTCGTCGTCGAGCGCGCCAGCCACAGCGAAATTGAGCAACGTTGTAGTGGAGTCGAAGGGAAAGCCCCTTCCCTTTGAGCCCTTCCCCGCCGGTGGGGGGGTCCCGGGAAAGTCCCGGGGAAGTCCCGAGTCAGATACGACTCCCCCCCCGGTCGATTCGGGGGCCCAGAGAAGCCCCCAGACGCGGAAAAATGCCCCAGGATGCCCCAAAGACGGTCCACGAAGGCCCCGAATCGCCGAAGTATCGGTCCAAGTCGTCAAAGTAGCCTCCAGACGGCTCAAAAGGTTTCCAAAACGTCCCAAGAGGAATCGAAGAGGACTTCAAAAATGGCACCAAGGAGCACAAATAATCGATACCCTTTGTCAGCTTCTCGCCTTGTCAGCTTCCCGACGCTCCAAGACAGGCCAAGAGGCCCCCAAGACTGCCACAAGATGGTCCCAGGGGGGTCCAAGAGAGCCCCAAAACGACCCAAGAGGGCCCAAAGACCGTCCATGAGGCCTCCAAGACAATCGAAGAGGCTCCCAAGACGGTTGTGAGAGGGAGCCCAGACGGGGGACCCGAACGGACATTTCGAGCCCTCAGCTTGAGAAGCTCTCAGGAGACGCCAGAGGCCCCTGAGAAGCCCCCCAAGAAGCCCCGAGAGGCCCCCAAGAGACCCCCAGGAAGCCCCCAGGGACCCCCACGAGGCTCCCAAGCGGCCCCTAAGAGCTTCCAGAGAGGCCCCAAAACTACCCCCAGGAGGCTCCCCGAGAGCTTCGTCGTTGTGGTCGTGGAATCGTCCCAGAGTATTTGTCTACTATGCTTGAATATTCCTCATGTAGAGGGACACGCCCGACTTAAGCATAGGGCGTGCTTTACTGGGGGGCGACAAGATGGGGGGGAGAACCCTCCTGCACCTTCTGTGCTCCGTTGGGCCCCAGTGCTCCGCTCTGAGGCCCCTTGCATGGACTACCTAGATTGCCCTCCCCCCACATGTATTGACCCCAACCCAACCCGAAGACTTCTGTTGCTCACATCGTACTTACGGGCCACGTCCCAGAAATAATTTCGAGCACGCGGAAAAGTGTCGAAAGAGCCTTGAAACAGTGTCGGACGAGTGTCTCCCAGGCCCCGACACGTGAAAACACTCGAGTTTCGGTATTGTTTTGTGCTCGAAATTCTTTCTGGCGATCTAGGCTAAAAGTAGGTTGGAACATCATAACCGAAAAAACTGTATGTCGCCTGAATTTCGGGTTGGGGGGTGTGTGGGGTATGGGCTTCATACGTGTTATCGGGAATATTGGAGTCCCGAAACGGTGCGGTGACACACCGTGCGGCGACCCAGAAAAATCCCCCAAGACCTCACCGCACGGTCCGTCACCGCACGGTCTTGGGACCTCGGAGGCCCCAGTCGCCCGAGACGTCCTCGGAGAACGACCCGAGTCCCAAAACCGTGCGGTGACCCCGAATCCCCACCGACTCACCGCACGGTGTGGTCACCCCCCCGTTTGGGAGCCCCCGATAAATGTGTCCCGATCCCCCCCCCCCATTGGAAATGGAGGGCACCTCGGGGCCTTCGGGTGGGCTTCGGGGTGCTCTGGTGGGCGGTGATGCCTCGCCCCCCCCGTGTGCTCCACGCCCGGACGCACGCCCACGCCCCCTTGCCATCGCCGACACCCCTTGGCGAAGCCCCAAAAGGTCCCGACACCGCCACTCGGAAGCTGGGCGAGGGCTGCTAAAACCGTGGCTGCTAAAACGGCCCTCCCGGAAGGAGAAGAACAACTTCCCGGAAGGAGGCGCGGCACGCGGAACAGTCAACGGGCTTCCTCCCGGGAGGACGAAGACGCATTCCCGGAGGTCGATTTCAGCAGCCACGGATTTAGCAGCCCTTGCCCGGCTTCCGAGCTACTCCCTGGACCTCTCCCAGGGTGCGCCCCGACCAGAATTTCGAGGCGAGTCCAGCGGTGGCAGCGAAGGCCTGCCACCAGGAGGCCCCCAAAAAAGGAGCGAAAGCGAGGGCAGCGTAGTGGTACGTGTACCTGTTCCTCCTCTGAAAACTCCTGCCGCCTCGGGCAGCCCCCCCCCCTCTTTGGCGCGCCGCCGAGGCGGGCTCCCGCTGCAGCATGCCCCCGCGGGCGGCGCCGCCGCGGCCTGGCGCCTGTCGCAGGCGGGGCGCGGACGACGCGGCGGCGACGAAGGGCGGCCTGCGCGGTCCAGGGCTCAGTGCAGTCGACGCATATAGAACTGACGCACCAGGAGGATGCCAGGGCCTTGGAAGGCCATGTCGACACCTTGCGAGCGGGGGGCGCGGACGTCGAAAGCGACCAAGGATAGGCCGAAGCGGAAGGATGCAAGGGTTGACGACTGCACTTTGGAGGTCGCTGGGGGGGCAGCGTTTCTTCCGGGGCCAGATCCCAATCGCGCTCGCAATCCCTCAGCGAGCTTCAACCTTCACTGCAACCCCTCGACCCGCGCTGGAACGCCCACGATGTGCCCCAGACGGCAATGGAGATCTTTGGACAGACCTCGATGTACGCAAGTCTAGCTGGGGCTGCCCAGATTCTCTTCAACTTGGCCAGCCTGATCCCCGCAGGTCGATCGGAATAACTAAAGACACATCACGCCCATGGGGGAAGGCGGAGACGACGACGACGACAACCCTGCCACGCTCGGACGTGGCCATGGCGGCAAGCGGACGGCGGGCGACCGCGGCGGCGTTGGACGACGGCTGCTTGTTCCTGCTCCTCTTCCTCGCCCTCTTCCTCCTCCTCCTGCATAGACTGTGGAGCCCTCTCAGGGGCTCACCTTGGCTGCCACATCCCCCGGGAGCGGTACCCACCCGGCAGCTGTGAGCCGTACCTCGCGCCTTCGAAAAAGTACGCACCTAACCCCTGACTCAGTGAGCCTCTCCTGGGAAGTCTCCGTAAGAATGGTCACGGGCGATGGAGCCTGATTCAGGGGCCACTGTGCCAGATTAGGCAGTAAGCCAGATTCAGCCTGGGATTACACCTCCAAGGTCTGGCCGACAGGGGGAGGACCCGGGCAGCCAGGGGGTCGGGGGCAAGAAGCTCGCGGAAATTCGGGAAGGCCCGGGAGGCTTTGCGAGCACTGGGAGGCAGCAGGAGGCACTGGCCCTGGGCACCCGAAGGCGGAGACGACCGAAGGCGCGAGCACTGGCCGACGAATCCCACTATCCCTCTGGGCGAAGGTGCTCCAACGGTAACGCGTTTCCACTCCTTCCCCTCGTCCTCCAACCTGGGGCTCATCAGACCTCGATCGGGAACACGTTTTGTCAAGGTGCCCGTCCTCCCGTCTCTTCCTCCTCCTCCTCCCGTCTCTTTCTACTCGTCCTCCTCCTCCTCCACCTCCTCCTCCTCCACCTCCACCTCCACCTCCTCCTCCTCCTCCTCCTCCTCCTCCTCCTCCTCCTCCTCCTCCGGAAGAACCGCAAAGGCAAAGGCACCGTAGATAGTTTGCTCTAGGAGCTACTCAAAAATGATAGCCAACTTCGGTTTGGCCCCCCCGCTGCGAAGTTTACCGCATCCCGCCCCGGCGAAAACCGACGCGGCGCACCCGCTGACCATGAAACGAACGGGTCCGGAGAAATGGATCCTGGACCCCAGGGCCTTCCCCAAGACCACTTCCTCATCCTGACTCGTTCTTTGACGCCCCGTGGCCCGAATAGGGCCCCACTGGCGACAAAAACTTTGAACGCGTCCTTCGTGGCGAGACCCCGCCGCCTTGGCAGCACCGCCCGCGCCGTGAGGGTCAAGCATGCCGCCGGGGGCGCTGGCAGCGCACGCGTTCCTGGGGCTCGCCACGTCCTGGCGCTCGGCGGAGGGGAGGCCTCCCAACAAGGATGTCCGAGCAGGTGGGGCCAGAGGGTCTCACACCACCGCCGAGGCAGCTTCCATCCATCGCCGCGACATGTTTGATGCATCGGCCACGTCGCCGATGCCTCGGCGCAAGCGTCGCGAGGAAAGAATCTGGCTCTGCGTATTTGAGCAGGGACCGACCGTCCCGGCATTCCTATTGTCCTACCACGAAATATTCTTAGAACCCAAAAATGTCCGAACAACCAAACCAATGTTCTTAGAACATTAGCCCAATGTGATAAAACAACACAGACTCCGCCAGACACGTTCTAAGAACATGACGCGGAACCGCAAACGGTTCTTAGAACATTGTTTGGTAGGGCTATAGGCGAGCCAGGATGCTTCGCCACTGCTCCTCGTATGAAGCCGCAAAGCGGCGGTGGTCCAGCGGCCCCGTCTGCGCGGGCCCCGCCCGAGAGGAGGCCGGCATGCTCGCGTCCCAGACTTCCCACGTAGCATGTCCCCGATCTGCAGGCTGACGAGGACGGGGGGGGGGCAGGGGGG